GATATTGGCACTGACACAGTGGAGACACGGGACTTCGCATCGTCAGAATGATCTCTTACGTAGTCCTTTTTAGTTATAGCTACGTCCCTTTCACCCACCATCTCCTTAAGAACTGGCAACTATTAATCTATTCACCATTTTTATAATCTTGTCATTTTTGTCCATACACATGACATACGGTATGTAACCTTCTGGAATCGACTTCTCTTCACTCAGCATAATTCTCTGGTGATTCATTCAGGATGTCATACATATTAATAGTTCTTCCTTTTTTGTTGCTGAGTAGTATTCCATGGTATACATGGGCCTTAGATTGTTTTGCCATTCTTGTGCTGAAGGATATTTGGATTGTTTCCAGTTTTTCACTATTACAGATGCTGTCATCATTTATGTGCAGGTTTTTCTGCAAACATAGTTTCATTTATCTGGGATCGAGCACCTTAAGTTGAGCTTCGAGCATCCATTACATATTTTAGTTACTGGTGTTTCCTTGGATATGTGGTATACAAAAATTTGTCCTGATCTATAGCATGTCTTATAGTTTAACACGGTCTTTCACAAAGCAAATGTTTTTTTTTAATTTGATAAAGTTGATGTATGGATTTTTCCTTTTATAGATTGTGTTTTCAGTGTCAAATCTAAGAGTTCTTTCTTAGTCCTAGATTTGAGGAGTTTGTCTTATTCTTTTTTAAAAAAAGTTCTATAGGGTTATGTTTTTTAAGTCCATGATATATATATTTTTTTTAATTACCAGAGGGCCATAGCACTCACCAGAGAAAGACAGAGAGAGAGAAAGCATCCCCCTAATGGGGCATGGTCATGCCACGATCTCTTCCCCTCCATTTCTCCATCCTGTCAGGATTTGGGGCATATAGACACATGCACCTGGCATGTTATTCAAGCTTCCAGGGCCAGGATTTGAATTCGATTCAGCTCCCTTAACCACTAAGCTATTTGGCCAACCCAGACGCGTTTCATTCTGAGAGTTTGTTTTGTTTCAAGTGTGAAACTTAGAATGAGATTTTTCTTTCTTTCTTTTCTCTATTTTTTTGGAGTAGTTTGCTTATGATATTAAACTCTTCCAATACCATTTGTTGAAAAGGTTATCTTTATTTCATGAATTGTTTTTGCACCTTTGTTAAAAGTCAGTAGGCCATATTTGTGTGCATCAGTTTCTGGGCTCTTTATTCTGCTCTATTGACCTATATTCATGTCTCTCCTCCAATACCAAACAGTCTTGATGACTGTAACTATACATTGGTCATTGGAAAAGCTATAACATATTTACCTGTTTTTTTTTAAATGCAAAAATGCATCATGACTTTTCCAATAACCCAATAATAAGTTCTAAAACCAGGAAGACTTATTCCCATATTTTTCCATTTGTTTTAGCTATTTTAGTTCCTTTGTCTTTCATATAAATTTCCAAATAATCTTGTCTATATGTACAAAATAATTTGCTAATTTACTGTGATTTTGGAAGGAATTGCACTAACCTATTATCAACTGGGAATGAATTGTCATATTTACTATGCTGTCTTCAAATCCATGAACATGGTGTTCTATTTATTAAAGCTTCTTTGATTTCTTTGATCAGTGTTGGGTGGTTTTCAGCATACAAATCCTGCATAGGTTTTGCTACATGTATAACTAAGTATTTAATTTTTAAAACAATGATAAATAGTATTTTTTTCAGTCTCCATATGCTCATTGTTAATGCACAGAGATAAATTAATTTTTGTATGTTATTTTGTGAAGTACAATTTCGCTGCTCTCACTTATTACACTTTTTATGTAGATTCCTTGGGATTTTCCTTATAGGCAATCATGTCATCTGTGAATCAGAACAGTTTTATTTCTTTTCTGAGATATATATCTTTTATCTTCTCACTTTACTGCACAGGTTGGAATTTCTATCACTAAGTTGAATGAGAGTGATGAGAACAGAAATTTTTGCTTTCTCTGCATTAGGAGGAAGCATTTGATCCACTAGTAATTATTATATTACTGAATATTTTTGTAGATGATTTTTATTAGATTGAGGAAATCGTACTCTATTTCTCATTTTCTGAGAGTTTTTACTATGAATAGGCATTAAAATTGTCACATGTTTTTTCTTCATCAATCAATATAGTAGTGTGATTTTTATTCCTTGCCCCACTGATATGATGGATTATCCTGATTGATTTTCAAATATTGAAATAGCCTTGCACCCCTGGAATAAGTCCCATCTGGCCATAGTATTTAATTAATTGCATATATTTCTGAGTTTTATGAGCTACTATTTTATTGAGAATTTTTGTGTCTAAATTTATGAGAGATATTAATTATTGGTCTTTTTTTGTTTTGGGGGTTTTGTTTGTATTATCTTTATCTAGTATTTATACTAAGATAACATCGCAGCTTCTTAAAATAAAGTAAAATATGTTCCCTACTCTTTTGTTTTTTGGATAAGATTGTGTAGAATTGGTATTAATTCTTCTTTAAACATTTGGTATAATTCTTCAGGGAAACCACCTAGACCTGGAGATTTTATTTTTGGTGGATTCCAAAATAATGAACTAAGTTTGCTTGAAAGTCATAAAGCTATTCGAACTGTCTGATAGTAGGTGACCTTCAGTAAGCTGTTTTTTAAGAAATCATGTGAATAATTGTTCTTATGTACAGTGCTTTGTAGTATAGTATTCCTTCTGAAGTTTGGCAGGGCCTATAGCGATAGTCTCTGTTCATTTCTGATACTGGTATTTTGTGTCTTCGCTCTTTTCTTCCTTTGTCAATCTTGCAAGAAATTCTATTTTCAAAGAACCAACTGTCTCACTGATTTTCTCTATTATCTTTCTGTAACCAATGTTATTGATTTCTGCTCTTATCTATATTATTTCTTTCTGCTTGTTTGAAGTTTATTTTGCTCCCTTTTTTTCTAGATTTTTTTGGAGTAGAATATTAAGAATATTGATTTGACACCTTTCCAGTTTGGTAATATAGACATTTACTGCCACAAATTTCCCTTTCAGTACTCCTTTAGCTGTGATCCATAAATTTTGATACGTTGTATTTTCATCGTCATTCAAGTGGATGTATTTTTAAATTTCCCTTGAGACTTCCTTTGTGACCCATAGATGATTTAGACTTGTGTTATTAAGTTTTCAAGTGTTTGGAAGTTTTCCTGTTACCTTTCTGTTATTGGTTTCTAGTATGAGTAGATTGTGGTCAGCAATGATCACAATGACATAAGACTTCAATTCTTTTACATTGGTTGAGGTTTGTTTTATGGCTCAGGACATGGCCTATCTCAGTATATATTCTAAGGTCTTTGGAAACAATGCATATTCTGGCGATGCTTGGCAGAGGTGGAATGTTCTCTACATCTTGAGTAGACCTGTTTGTTGCTGGTGTTGTTGAATTCAGAGTTATTCTATGTCCTTGCTGGTTCTGTTAGTAGTATATCATGTACTTGTAAAGGGGTGCTGAAGTCCCCAAATTTAATTGTAGATTTGTCTAACTTTCCATTTAGCTCTTGTTAGTTCTTTGCTTCACATATTTTGTAGCTCTGTTATTTGGTGCATATACATGTAAGATTACTGTGTCTTTTGGGTGGCTTGATTCTATTATCATTATATAATGTCCCTCTCTGTCTTTGAAATTTCTCTTCGCTAGAAACTTATTTTACTTGAAATATATAGCCACTTCTGCTTTCTTTTGACAAGTACTGATATAGCTTATTCCACGCTTTTACTTTCAACCTGCCTGTATAATTATACTTGAAGTGAGCTTCGTACAGATAACATATGATTGGGTCACAGTGTTTTTGTTTGTTTTTAATCTACTCGGCCAATCTTCGTCATTTAATCATTACATTTGTCTAAATGTACTTACACCTAATTATTGATACGTTAAGACTTAGTTCTGCCACTTTGTTTTTTGTATTCTCTGTTTTTCACTTTTCTGTTTTCTTTTTCTTCCTTTCTGTGGATTAATTAAATATATTTTTGAAATTCCATTTTGGTTTATTTATTGTGTTTTGAGTATATCTCTTTGTATCGTTTTTTAGCAGTTGCTAAAAAGTTGCTATGTTTTACATAACTTATCACGGCTGCTGATATCATTATTTTATTGAGGTAGGAGCCTGAATTATTAATTTGGGACTTTTCCTCTTGGCTAACATAGGCATTTAATGCTATAAATTTCCCTTTCAGCACTGCTTTAGCCACGATTCACAAATTTTGATATATTTTCATTGCCATTTAAGTCAATGTATTTTTTATTTCCCTTGAGACTTTCTCTGTGACTCATTGACTATTTAGATATATATTGTTTAGTTTTCAAGTGTTTGGCCATCCTGCCATGTTGCCACATATTGCAGAATTTCATTCTTTTTTAAGGCTGAATAATACTCCGTTTGTAAAGTATAGAAACCATACTTCTGTTAGCATATTCTTACCCTCGTCTATCTGATATAATTGTCTTAAGTATTTTCATACAGTTAGTGATATAACTCTTGCTTTTTCACTCTGTACTCTCCTTTTGCTGTTGAGTTTATCTGTTCAAGTTTTTTTTTTTTAACTTTTATATATTTTTCAGTTCTAGACCTCAAAAAATTTAAGAGGAGAAGAAATGCCTTTAGTATTTCTGCATATTTTTGCTTACTGTGTCCTTTTTCCTTTCCCGTGTTTCAAGTTTCCTTCTTTTATCACTTCTTTTCCATTTAGAGATTTCCTATAGCCCTTCTTTTAGAATAGTTCTGCTGGTGGCAAATTTTCTTAGTTTTCTTTTATCAGATAATGTCTGATTTTTCTATTTAATTCTGTAAGTTATTCTTGCTGATATAGAATTCTGGGTTGACAGGTTATTTTTTCAGCACTTGAAAATGTGCTCCTTCCCTTCGGTTGCACCAACGCTGGTACATAGGAACAGACCAGTGTCCTTGGACTTAGAGAGCAGGATATCCAGCTTCGGAGCAGGAACCCTAGTATCCCAAGTGACAAAATAGAGAATTAAAAATGGGTAATGTTGAGAAAGGCGAGAAGACTTGTGTTCAGAAGTGCGCTCAGTGTCACACCATGGAAAAGGGAGGCAAGCACAAGACTGGTCCAAATCTCCATGGTCTATTTGGGTGGAAGGCGGGTCAGGCCCCTGGATTCTCTTACACAGACGCCAACAAGAACAAAGGCGTCATCTGGGGAGAGGATACACTGATGGAGGATTTGGAGAATCCCAAGAAGTACATCCCTGGGACAAAAATGATCTTCACTGGCATTAAAAGGAAGTCAGAAAGAGCCGAGTTGATAGCTTATGGCCACTGCCTTATTGATGACAAAACAGACATATCTCAGCTTTTTTACGTGTACCTTTTTTTTTTTTTTTTTTGAGAGGTTTTTGCTATAGGGTGCGTGCGCTCACCAGACAGACAGAGAGAGACATAGAGACAGAAAGCGAGAAATCACCCCCCAGGGGGGATGGCCACGCCGCAATCCCTTCTCCTCCATTCTCCTCTCGGGATCTTGGGCACGCATGCACACGCGCCCAGCATGTTTTAAGCCACCGGGTCTGGGACACGAACCGTGGTCGACTACGCGGGAGTCCAGCAACATAGCTATTACGCTAGCTGCTGGTTCCCCGTGTACCATATTGATCTCCTGTACAGAACTCAGATCATGAATGATTGACAGGATATTTTTGTTGGACAGTCCTGATTTAAGTAAGATTGGCTTGTAGTTAAGTGAATATTGTTGGGTTTTTGAAATTTCAATAGTAATTTCGGATGAGTAAGTGCTATCACTATTTACCCTTTCTAAACATATAATTGGTAATTCATTAGTGATGCACATCCTTTTACAAAGATGATGAATGCAATCTCAAAACCTACTGGAGATTGGTATTTTATTTAGGCTTATGTGTAACTGGTTATATGAATATATAAATGTTAGTGAAATCCCTTCCCTTCTCAAAACCAGGCAGACTCATGTGTGTTTTATTCTGTGTTCATTAACCTGTTAAAGGCAAGGGCTGAAGGTAAGATAGTGATATCTACTTTATATATTTGGTCATAACTATGCCAATCTAATTAGAATTCTCTATATCCAAAACACTGCCTTTTACTTACTAAAAGACATTTTAGTGTGGTTTGTGTATACTATTAAATAAAGAATATGTAACACTGGGAACCAGCAGTTAGTGTAATGGCTATGTCGCTGGACTCCCACGTAGTCGACCGCGGTTCGCGTCCCGGACCCGGTGGCTTAAAACTCACGCCGAGCACGTGTGCGTGCGTGCCCAAGATCCCGAGAGGAGAATGGAGGAGAAGGGATTGTGGTGTGACCATCCCCCCTGGGGGGTGATTTCTCGCTTTCTGTCTCTAATGTCTCTCTCTGTCTGTCTGGCGAGCGCACGCACCCTATAGTAAAAATCTCTCAAAAAAAAAAAAAAAAAGAATATGTAACACTTAAAAAAAAAAAGAAGAAGAAGAAGATGTGCTGCCTCCCTTTGGTCTCCATGGCTCCTGAGGATAAATCTGGTGTCATTTAAATGGTTTTCCCCCAATAAATAAAGTGTAATTTCTCTCTTCCCCCTTTTAAGTTTTGTCTTTGTCTTTAGTTTTCAGCTGCTCGATTATTTTGTACTCTTGATATGGATTTTACTGGGTTTATCCTAATTAGAATCCTCACAATTTCCCAAGTCTGTTAGTTTATGTATTTCATCAAATTTGAGAAATTTTCAGCCATTATTTCTCTGAGCACTTTTTCTTCCTAGTCCTCTTTCTTGTCTTCTTCCAGGACTCAGATGACATGAACGTTAGAGCTGTTATAATCCCAGAACTACTTGAGAGACTATTTTATTTTTATTATACTTTTTCTCTGTTGTTCACATTGAGTTATTTCTTTTTCTTTTCTTTTCTTTTTTTTTTTTTTTTTTAGAGAGGGATTTTCGCTATCGAGCACAGACTTTCGCCAGAGAGTCAGAAAGCAAGAAATCACCCCTAGGGGGGATGGCCACACCACAATCCCTACTCCTCTCTTCTCCTCTCTGGATCTTGGCCGTGCATGCACATGCATCCAGCATGAGTTTTAAACTGCCAGGTCCAGGACTCGAACCACAGTCAACTATGTGGGAGCCCAAAGGCATAGCCATTATGCAATCTGCTGGTCCTGTATTGGGTTATTTCTAATGTTTTATTTAACAGGTCACTGATTTTTTTTTCCCCTCTGCTCTCTTCATTTTGGTGTTGAGTTCATCCATTGAAGTTTTATTTCAATATTATATTTTTCAGTTTTAAATTTTGTTTGGTTCTTCTTTATGTCTTTTCTTTGCTGATAACTTCTTTTCACTTTTCTGAAACTTCTTACTTTTGTTCCAAGTATGTACATAATTGTTTATTGTCTTAGTTCTTTTTCTCCTGCTATGACTGAATACTGAAGACTGGGAAATTAGTAAGGAAACAAAAATTTATTTGGCTCATGATTCGGATGACTGGAACATCCAAGACTGAGGGGCCACATCTAGGGCCTTTTCACTGTGCCACGACGTGTCTGGGGAACATGTAAGAGAGCAAGAGAGAAAAATGGGGCTGAACACCTGCTATAACGATCCACTCCCAAGATAATGGCATTAACCCATTCATACTGAACTACAGAGTTGGAAGCCACATGCTGACCCTGGTTCAAATCCCTAAACCAGCTGACCTGAAAATGCATGTATGTGTGTCCAAGATCCTGGCAGGCTGGAAGACTGGAAGAAGACGATTACAGCATGACTAAGCCCTATGGAGAGTGTTTCTCTCTCTCACACTTTCTCTCTCTCTTGTGTGCATATGTGTATGTGCTCTATCGTGATTGTTTTTAATAAAATGAGACACTATCCAGTACTCTGACAGTTATAGAAACTCCGGCGGCCACATACGAAGATGAGCTGACCGCTTTCTTCAGCAGCGTCCCCTTTACTGAAGGAGGCTGCGTCCTCTGGATCTGTCTAGATTCAAGCTGCAAGGTGTCAGAAATACTTCGGTGACTGTGTTAAATGATCTGGTTCTAAGCACAAGGGAGATCCACAGGGGTAAAGAGAAAGGAAGCCACCTGCTGCCAGCCGCAGTCAGAGCCAAGTGTCCTGTTTGGCAGCATTTCCCTCAGGGTCACCTGGCACAGAGAGCAACCAAGCTCAGGTAATTTCAGGAAAAGCTCTTCCTCTCCACACGATTGCTAATTGCCCGAAAGCAAGGCAGAGTAGAAGTGGCAGGCAGACATGAAATCCCGAATGGTGGCGATAACTGTATTTAACCTCTCCCAAGGGAACATTAAAGAGGCTTTAATATTTTGGTGGGGGGAACCCCAATGTGTAAAAAAGCAGCTGCAACCGCTGACAGAGTCACTTTCCACTTGAAGGAACCATGCCAGAATCCATTTCTAATAGGAAGGAAGGGTAATGAGAGAGTATTGTGGATTACAGTCACATTCTACATCTTTAAAAGCTTCTCCGGACAGACTGTAAATTACCCTGACCTTAAAGAAAATGTTCACACTAAGGCTTTGTTTTTTATGAGCATTCCACCTGGATAGTCTGACCTGGCTTTAGATAAAATTATAAATAAGCCGAGAAACCAACTGAGCCGCACAGAGCCAAGGGTCAAACCTGGTATGACGATTGATTCTGTTTTCTTGCTGTCAGTAAGTCTAGAGAGGAAAGAGCATTCTTTCCATACACAAAACCCAAACCTAAGTCCCATTTGGAATGACGACTGCTGGCTGCTAGCCCGACGCTGCTGTGCCTATCATTAAATCGGCACAGCATTTGGGGCGTTCCTTCAGGTCTCCAAACCACTGTGAAAGCACCAGAACATCTTTTCTTCCCTTCTGGTGGACACTTATTAGATACCATACTAGGTAGGGGTAGGGCTCTTGATTGGAAATAAGACACAAATTGTGGGAAAAGTAAGGCCAAAAGCTACGTACCAGAAGTACTTTGGCTGGGGAGCGAGGCTTGGCCTTGATCTCCCAGGGTATCTGTTTGCTCAGCTCAGCACCATAGGTGGTCCAGGCACTAGAGTGCCACAGCCCTGGGTCCTCTCTATGGGCACTCCAGCACTTCAGTGCCTTCTGGGCCATGGATCCTCTGCAGATCACCTCCAGCTGACCAGTCCTCCAGACTCAGCTCAGGCAGGAGCACATTAGGGTTGTACTAAGGACACGAGGCCATGCTTAAGCTCAGGTCCTCGGGTGTTGGGGAATCCTCCAATCAGGAAGGGTACACCGGGCAGCCCAAACGATGATGAGTTAGCACAAGTAGGACTCCTGCATGATATGCAAATGTCTAAATATGCAATACTGTATAAAGTATTATTAATTATATTTTATATACTTACATAGCTGAGAATATATATATATATATATATATATCCACACACACACACACAAACATACACACTGTAAAAGAATGAGCATCTTCTGAAATCAGTCAAATCTTTATAGTCATGGTCACCATGATTAAGCTTGGATCCTGGTGAGGATCTCATCTTCAAACCCTCACCAATAGAAGACGGACTGAAAATCTTCCATGGCATTTGCACTGTGTCTTCTTTTTGACTTATAACAGCTTCCTTCCCTCTACACCCCAACTATATCCCTTAGCCCACTTCTTTCTGGCCCGTTTTTTAACCATTTGCTTCTAAGCTAGGTAGTACGGGAAATACACTGTAGAAAGAAGAAAGGGGAACTAATATTTACTAGTGCTCAGGTAGTGAGGGATTTTTATTGTACTCACTGGAGAGACAGATACACACAGAGACAGAAAGCAAGAAATCACACACACACACACACACACACACACACACACACCTGTAAGATGGCCATGCCATGGTCCCTTCTTCATTCTCCTCTTTGGATTTTGGGCGTGTACACACATGTGCCTGGCATGAGTTTTAAGCTGCCAGGTCCGGGACACAAACTGTGGTCAACTATGTGTGAGTCTAGTGATGTAACCATTACACTATCTGCTGGTCCCTGTATTGGGTGCTCTGAAAAACCTACTTAGCTTAACATTATCCTTAAAACAGATAGAGCTAAAACCCTACCACATCTATCTGGGTTGGAGACCCAGCTCTACCACATGGTGTGGCCTTGGGCAAGGTGTTTAACTGTCATGAGCACTAACTCTCAGCTGTAAAATGAGGGTCCTTTTAGGAGTGTTGAATGAAAACCACCATATTCTGTGACACATGGCCAGCTGCTGATATTACCTCCACCTTCTGAAATATGGCCTATTCTTAGGTGTCCTCTCCTCCGTGGAACTGCTCTCAATCTCCTATGGCAGATGTTAACCCTCCTTCTTCTGTGCTTCTTCTTTCTTTCTTTTTTTTTTTTTTTTTTAAGTTTATTTACTTATTTCCCGAGACAGAGAGGGAGGTACACCCTTGACGGGGTCTTCACACTGCAATACTCCTCCCAGCCCCGCAGTCAGACAGAATCATGAGTACCTGGGGCTTAGGTAGTCCAGGAACATAACCTGGAACCTTCCCATTTGTTACCCAGCATCACAAAGCAGTGCACACACACACGCACACACACACACACACACACACACACCCCACCCCTACCTGAGCTGGCAAGGCTGGGCCTCTCTGGGCTCATTTTGTCTTTGGTTTACACCTTCTTTGTTGTGCTCAACATAGGCAGTACAG